GCTGTCAATAGGTGGGCTAAAAAGAGAAGAAAAAACATGTTGACATACTTCCCACATTCTTCATTAGAGCACATGCAAAGGAAGCTCAAAGGTCAGCTTCTTTAGACTGCACTACAGGCCTTAATTAGATTTTCCACTTCTAATTTGTCATACTAGATTCTCACATATCTCTACAACAGCCTAATATTGCATTTTGCTAAAAGACACTATGCAAGGCATTTTTACATAGCAATATGTTCTGAAAATGAACAAGTATTCAATCACAACTACTCTGGGAGCTGCACAGACAGTGAGCATTTTGAACTCCAACCTTCAGACAAGAGATCTAAAACTGTAACACAGAGGTGAACTAAAGTCAAGAAAAGCTGGCCTGATTTTAAATGTGTTTCTGTGTGCTGGAGTGTACTTCCCATACCAAATTCTCTTCCACTTAGGAAGTTATGAAAGTCTTTACAAGGATTTTGGAAAATTACCATGACAAATGAGAATGTTGTAAAATATAAAAACTATAGGCTAATCCATTATGAGACATAGTTGCACAGCGACCTTTCAACAAATGACTGAACTTCCATCCAAGCATATGCTTAAGAGCAAGTAAATAATGGAGATCAAGAAATTTAAAAGTTAAAGATGAAAAGTATCTGCTCAGTTTTTTAAGTGCAATCCAGCAGATAAACCTCATATTTGAAGTATTTGGTTCAAGAGTTCAAATTACACAACATACCAGTAGAAACTGAGTCCCATTACTGTGTTTGCATCTCCACAACACTAAGGGTAAATCCAGTACTCGGGGAGCTTTCAAATTTTTTTGGCAGCAATGGGATCTTAAACTGTTCATTCCTACCACATGACGTTGTACTGGCATGTCTCCATGGTACCAGCACAACAAGTTTTTCCTGCCCAGTTATTTTTAACCAGTATCAGCTCCCAACGTTCGAGGCAACACATGGTCTGCAAGCACTGCTGTAACTAAGAAGCTGGTGTAGAATGAACAGCAGGGGCTGCTTAACATGGATCGACTGCTGTAAGAAACAGCTCTCAAATGGTAACTTCAGATTGCAAGCAGCAAAACAAGTTAGAATTCCCAACAGATTTGTGGCTGTCATATTCCGTGTTTAAGGAAAATTCTAGACCAATAAACCTTGTAGAAATGCTACACGGTTTTCATATCTCAATTCACATTAGTCTGCAAGGTCAAACTATACAGTCAAGCTTAAGAGTTTTCGTGTAGACCAACTCACCAAAACTGAAGCATAAAAAATTAACAAGCTTCAAATTCTGCTAAATATAAGAAGTAAAGGTATTCATTTTAAATCTGATGTGCAAGCTGAGGAAAAAGCAATAGGGTAAAAGCTTAAGATTTTCCTTTATCTTACTCCTCAGCTTGTCTTTCCTTTTCGCAAAATAAAAATGGGAAAGAGCAATGTTTTACAAAATAATATACAAAGCCAGTAAATACTTACTTCTGTGCTAATGCTGCATGGATTCTTCGATACATGTAACACTCTACGTACAGCCAAGGGGACTGAAACCAACTTGGTTCTCCATTTCCATTTGGTAAATTTCGTTGGTAGTCCAGGTATTGGTTCCACAGCACAGCATCAGGCAACTCATCTTCCAAAGGGGTCACTGGCTTGTCTGTCTGCAGCTCATTCCGCAGTTTGGAGAGGAAAGATATAGCTCTCTTCTCTGCTTCAACACCCTTCTGGGAAAAGCAGAGAATAAAAGTTGCTATTCTGTACTTTTATTGCTGTAGAGACACAGATCAACTGTTCATGGAATGTGCAAAGTTTTAATTGCCATATGAGAGTCCCTGATAAATCACAGCTTGATTCAACAAAATATATTGTGGTGACTAAAGCTCAGTTCAGATCCAAGATCCTAAAATGAATTCCATATGGGACTTCTTTTCAGATTGGACTTTTTGCTAATTAGAGGTGAAGAGAGTGTTGAAACACCGTCACATTCAGAAGGTGTTACTGTCTATCAAACACTGCATCAACACAAAAACCCAAGTAAGTGATGCAGTTGCATAAGTGACAGATCAGAAGGAAAAGGTTAGACAGAAAGGTGTGTTACAGAACTAATCAAAAATAGCTACTAGAAAGAAATTATTTTTAAAAAAAAATCAGACAAAAGGACTGAGACAAACAAGCCTCACCAGTAAAAACAAGGCAGAGAAAGGGTCTCAAGGGCTAGAGGGAAATAAACATCAGGGAAAATAGGGACCTTACTCTTACCTCACCATGTTCTTCAAAAAATTCATTTTTATGTCGATGCAAAGTATCAATAACTCTTGTGAGGATCTGGGGAAGTCTGTCTTTAATCGTAAAATATGCAAAGGATCTAAAAAAGAGAAAATCAGTATTTTATTATTGTTAGCAAATTATGAAATGGCTTCAATTTTTAAAAACAAATGCAAGGTCTTTGCGCTACTTTGGGCTGGGGTAGAGTTAATTTTCATTACAGTAGCTGGTATGGAGGCTGTGTTTTAGATTTGTGCTGGAGACAGTGTTGGCAACACAGGGATATTTTCCTCACTGCTGAGCAGGGTTTGCACAGTCAAGGCCTTTTCTGCCTCACCCCACCCGCGAGGAGGCTGAGGGTGCACAGGGTGTTGGGAGGGGACACAGCCAGGACAGCTGACCCTAACTGACCCAGAGACTATTCCAGACCATATGGCATCATGCTCAGCAGTGGAAACCAGGGGGAAAAGTTAGCCAGGGAGCCACTGCTTAGGCATCAGGAAGTTCATGGTGAGCAATTGCTTTCATTTGCTTTACTTGGTTTTCTTGGGTTCTATTTCTCTTTGCTCTTTTCATTACAATTTATTCTCATTCTAGTTATTAAAATGCTCTCAACGCACAAGTTTCCTCATCTTTACCCTTGTCATTCACTTCTCCCCACCCCGCTGAGCTATGTGGTGCTTTGCTGCCAGCTAGGGTTATAACACAACAGTGTTAAAAGTAGCTTGATGCGCCCTTAAAGCAGCGGACAGCAAAAAAACCCCAAAACTAAAACAAAACGAAAAAAATTTCAGACTGGTCAGGTTCTTGTGCCTACTTTTGCAGAAGATTATAAACAGCAGCCTTTTCATGGAAGAAAAAGCTAAATGACTGGAAAACCGAATAAAACCTGCAGTTAATTCTAGGCTAAACCGCGACCTCTATTGCTAAGATACCCAGATGCAAAACCTGGGAAATGTAAAACCAAAAGCACAGATATCTGCTCAAACTTTATCACGAATCTCATCAACAAGAAAAGCACTCTCCGTTATATAATTGAATCACATTTTCTCCAAACGCTGTTTATGTACGAGGACAAGGAGCAGAAGGCGGCCAGCGCACACTGCCTGAGGACGATTTTTACTGTGAGATTTCTTCCCGGTGGGTTGGAGCCGCGGAGCCGAGCAGCTGCACCGGGAGCAGGGCACCGGGGCCGACATCCCCTCACGGCCGGGCCGGGCCGGTGACTGCGGCGGCGGCAGCGCCGCGCCCACAGCGCCGCCTACGGGCCCCGCGCGCCGCCGGCGCTGCTCCGCTTCCCGACGGCGGGGCGCCGGACGGCCCCTCAGCTCCCTCCCGCCCCCCGCCTCGCTGCCGGTGACGAGCGCGCCAGGCCGTGACGGACCCCTTAAACCTGCCCGACAGGGACACCGGGAGCGCCGGTACCGCCGCCATCTTGCTCCGCCCCCCCGCGAGCCGGCGAGCCGCCCTGCCCCCTCCCGGAAGCGGGCCCGAGCGGTAGCCGGACGTTATTGGCGCGCGGGCCGCGCCCCGCCGCGCGGCGACGGACGGGCGGGGCGTGTCGGCC